CTGCATCTTCCCACACTCTCTCCTCCTCCCCCGCCTGGGCCCGGTGTCAAGACAGAGTCAAGAAGACCGGAGACGAGGGAGGCCGCAGGTGGATGGCTCGGACGGATCCTCACCTTGGCGTTCCACCACACCCCCCGGTCCACACAACAATAAACAGGATTTCAACCAACACAACAGAGATTTGGAAGCTGGCATGGCCGAAGCCGCACCAGGGCGTGACGCCAACGCCTGGCTCGGATCCCACATTGTGGTAGGAATGCCATAAAAGCCACATTAAAAAAGGAGCCATTGCAGCCTGACTCTCAGAACGCCTCCCGTGAAAGAGGAGGTCCAAGGTACCCCGTCAGTTGGCAACATTCCAAGCCACGGCTTTTAGCGCACCGTGATAGCTTCAAGCGCGTCAGATTGATTATAGTGAGGAAGATGCGCTGAGTCGTCGACCTCACTCTCCCTTCCCACTCCCACACCCCAGCCGCTGTCCGAGCCGGTCAGCAGACTGGAGTGGGGAGTGGGCGCGGTGGCTGTCATGGTCGACGGACCATGACTGCGCGCGCCACAGCACGACCTGGCCCCCCATACACACAAACACCAGGACTTCACACAACGGGGGTTGGATGGCGTGTCTCTCACTTGCGTGAGAGTGCCGTGGAAGGTGCTGTTGCAGCCCGTCCCCAGCCCACCAGTCCGCCACTACACACAACACACACACAACGTGACGAACTGCGTGAACCGAGAGCGGGCCTCAATCAGCAACCTTCCTATCCACGACGCTTGACGTGTCGGGATAGTCTCGGACACAAGTCACCCGTGCAGCCGAAGCCGCATGGGGACCGAGTCGAGAGCACACTTCCCACTTGCGTGTGAGGCGGCAGTTGAGTGAATGAGGTGTGTGAGGGTTGAGGTCTTGTGGGGTGATGGTGTTAGGAGGTAGGGAGTGAAGAGATGTGTGGTGTTACCGGCGGTGGTCTACCGCAGGTCGTCGTGGATGCGCATGTGGCCGAATAGACCCATGCGATGCGTGAAGGTGCGAGGGCAGTGTGGGTGGTGGAGGCGAGTGCGGTGGGTGTAGGTTGGTGCTTCGGGCACTGGTTCGCCAGTCTCTGTGCGATGGATTCGCAAGTGACCGACCAGGCCGATGCGTGAAGTGAAGTTGCGATTGCAGTGAGGGCAGATGTAGGCCTGGCCCTCACGTCTGATGATGGAGGTTGCAGGGGTTTTGCCAGGTTAGGCTGTGGTGAAGTCGTGGGCGACAGACGCCGAAGCGGCCGTCGTTGTGGCAGTGAAGGAGGAAGAGAAGGAGGAAGGGGAGGAGTGAGGGGTGGTAAGGTCGGTGGCGTCGATGTCGGCTGGGAAGTGGTTAGTGGGTGCACAAGGGGATGGATTGGGAATGAGGCTCGGCGGTGTGGGTGTGTCAAGGCTGCGGTCAATTCCGCTCTCGTGGATGCGCATGTGGCCGAACAGGCCCATGCGGTGAGTGAAGGTGCGAGGGCATTGTGGGCAGTGGAGGCGAGTGCGGTGGGTGTAGGTTGGTGCTCCGGGCACTGGTTCGCCGGTCTCTGTGCGATTGATTCGCAAGTGACCGACCAGGCCGATGCGAGATGTGAAGGTGCGGTCGCAGTGAGGGCAGGTGTAGTCCTGATCCTCATGACACATCGACAGCGGGCGTCACTCAGCAACCTTCCTATCCACGACACTTGACGTGTCGGGATAGTCTCGGACTCAAGTCGGCACTGCAGCCGAAGCCGCATGTGGACCGAGTCGAGATGCACACGTCCCACTTGCGTGGGAGGTGACA